GAGGATTTGGTTTTTAATTGCATGATGGTTAAAGAAAGTTACAAACATGGATGGACGTTTGATATACTCTTTGGTTTATGCTTGGTTATCGTTATAGTTTACGATTTCACTTGTAATCACAAATGATAAAAATTAGTTTTTGTAACATGCTTGAAGGAAGGAACTTAAACAAACGCTACATCCCCGTGAGACTTGAGCCTAAACGTTATTTGGAGAGTTATAATCTATGCATCATTGTTTTCTAAGTCGTTGCATGATCTCATTATTCTTTGCTTGGTTACTACTTAGAAGGCGTTTCATCACTTAGTTCCAAATGCTAGAACTCATGCCCATTTCATTCAAAGCATGTCATTGATTTGCATAACACGTATTCAAGATGAAGTTGTGTAGTGAACACCATAGCCAAATTGCCATATTTCCCTTTTCATTTGTTTTGTAGGATTTAACCCCGTTGAGCCTTGTGTAGCCTACTTTCTTTGTTAACCCACATTATCTTCACCTAGCTTAGATTAGGACCATCCGTACCCTTGTTCTTGAAGCATAGTAAGCATGAATGAATTCCCTTTGATTAATGTGTGCAGAAAATAAGTGTGGGGGAAGGATTATTGATGTGAGTTATGTGCCATAGGCACGAGTAGAAAAAAAAAAAAAAAAAAAAAAAAAGTTGAAATGTATTGGTTGTTGAAGAAAGGGCCCAAAACAATGAATTAGGCCCTAATAGTTGTTTGAATCTCCCCTATTTGTTTAAAAGTTGATTTCTGCATTCTAAGGGAATTCTAGGTCTTAATTTCATTACTTTACTTGCTATTGCTTAAAGAACTTTTGTTTATCCCTACCTTTCCTTGTGAGCCATTACCCCAAGTCCCGTTACAACCCTTGACTTCTATCTTGAGTGTTGTGCATTTCAATTGTGGAGTTTGAATTTGGTATGAGCATATGGTGTCACTGGTTCTCGCATCTAAGTAGTAGCATTCCATTCATGAGATCATATCCAAACACGTTTAATTACCCCAGAAATTGCGTTCTTTGTTATAACATATGTGAGTACTAGTCTTTCATGTTTACATCAATCTTCTCACATATAACTAGTGTAGGGTGTGTAGTCAGAAAATCTGAGTGAAAATTGAGTGCATAACTAGAGAGGAATTGAGGGAATTCTCTAAGGCATGTTACTACATTCAAAATGTGTTTTATTTGATTAAATGCGAACTAGTGAATGGTGACTATGATTAAGTATGTGCTTGAGGGGAAGTAAGACTAAAAGCTATGTGAGTAATGATTTTTGACATGTCATGCTTCATTGGAAATCCCTGAGGCAACTGTTGGAAGGTTTAGGTTATGTTTTGTTTATTTTGTTTCAGCTTGTTTACTTTAGTTGTTTTGTTTTGCTCGAGGACTAGCAAAAGCTAAGTGTGGGGGAATTTGATAGAAGCATATTTATGCGCCTTAGTTAGCTAGTTCTTATGCATTTTTGTTATGTTTTATTCGTTAAAGTAGTCTTTTAAGCTATTTTCATGTGTTTTCAGGTTTAAAGGACATATTACATGAAATGATGCAATTGGGAGCTTTTGGAGCAAAACTGAGCTGGAATGTGGTGTATGCAAATGGAGCACGAGGAATGAACGAGGTTGAAGGTCAAAGGAGCTTAAGAAATGAAGAAATGAAAGTGAAGAGCAAGGAAGTCGGAATTGGTAACCAAAGTTTCTAAAGTTGGAAGTTTCTATTCTTGGAGGTTTCCATTGTCGTGAGTTTCTATTCTTGGCTTTGGGCTTTTAGATGACCTAAACCCTAACCTTAGCCCATTTTAGAGCCATTTCCATGGGCTTTAGCCCAAGTCCTTTCCCTTGCCATGCAAGGGGGGGCATTTTAGGCCCAAATCCATGCATTAAGCCCTTCATCATAATTGGCCCAAATCCATGCATTAAGCCCTTCACCCTAATTGGCCCAAATCCATGCATTAAGCCCTTCACCCTAATTCTTCCTCCTAATTAGTGCATCCCACCATTCCATTCCATAATTTCCATTAGTGCATCCCACCATTCCATTCCATAATTTCCATTAGTGCATCCCACCATTCCATTCACACTTAAATGCCCATTATCCCATTTTTTTTAGCTTTTAATTCCACACCATCCCATTATCCTTTACATCCACTAAACCATGCATCCACATTCACCTAAATAAACCCTAAATTACATCCACTAAACCATCCATCCACCATAATTCCCACCATCCACACCTTTTCCCATCCACCAAATACCTTAAACAAACATCCATTAACACCCATTCTCTTCCTATAAATACCCATTCATTCCATTCACCAAATCATCTCATTTTCCATTGTAATACACAAACACTTCCCCTTCTCCATCTTCTCCATTTCCACTCCATTCCACACTTCCATCCCCCCAACCAACCTATCCTTAAACCTTGTGCTACAACAACGAGGAAGAGAAGAGTGCCTAAACGTTCATACAATTCAAGTTTTGAGTTGTTGGAATGTTTAGGTGTTTCTTTGATTTCAAAGTTTCATTTTAATTCTCTTTGTTTTGTACGTATAAGGAATGGAAGAGAAGAGTGCTTAAACGTTCATACAATTCAAGTTTTGAGTTGTTGGAATGTTTAGGTGTTTCTTTGATTTCAAAGGTATGAGAGGCTAAATCCCCCTAGTTAGCTAGGGGGTGATTCGAAACCATGGTTATACTTGCAATATGAATTGATTACTTTTGGTTGGGATTTCATGAATGTTGGATTCAATTTGTTTAACCGTTTGATTGATAACTTATTTATGAATGTTTATTAAGAATGCGCGCTTAATTTTCATGCATAAATATGACGCTAGAATATAAGTGAATTTCACCTAATCGTTATGAACTTATATTCACAAGTAGTGGAGGTTGCTTATAAACAATCGCGTTAAATGAATTCTTGACACGAGTATCATGCTTTTCATAGTTACAAATGCCTTGTCGATGCTTATAATTTCCAAAGAACGTAATGATTCTAACTTGTATCTTTATCATGCTGTTCATATAGAGAACTTGTTAGGAATAATTTGTTTGCGATGCATATTCATCCAATTCAATGATTCTAGGGAAATTTGAAGGTTAATTTAAGCGGAACTAATTAACTTGAAGTGTCGAGTTCCATAATTTATCGAAAGACCAACTGAGAATCAATTTTGTATGCAAGTATAACATGTGTGGAGATGAACCCCTTGGCTATTCCATCATCCATATTTTCATCTCATTCATATTTACGTTTTGCCTTTAATTACAATTTGTCCATTTAATTTAATATCGTCCAAACACAATCCCCCCTTTACTTTATTGTCAAATTAGTTAGAAATCAATTTAGTTTGTGTTTTTAAAGAATTTTGAGTCTTTTGGTTTGTCTTAATGTTTTAACGTTTAGTTTCACATTCTTTGAGTCTAGTTTAGTGTTTTATATTGTTTTTACGTTTTTGAGTCAAAAATCCAAGTGATTAACAATCCCTCCTAATCCCCGGTCCAGAACGATCCCTACTTATACTTATACTACAATTGTCAAAAAGAGGGTTTAATTTGAGTGTCAAGTAATTCTCACATCAGCAGTTTAAAGGGAGAGGCGGTTTTGCTCTTGGTAAAGGAGAGTAATGGAAGCCTGAAGAAATGGAAGCCGTGTTTAGGGATGCTTGGATCAACTGCGAAAGTTGATGTTGAGGAAGAAGACAAAGGCCTCTTTCTTCTTACCTCACTTTCAGATTTGTACGAGAACCTTGTGAAACTTTACTGCAAGGAAAGAAACAGTAAGTTTGGAGCAGGTGCAAGCTTCTTTGGTGTAGAATGATACACACAAGAGACCATGGATGATGGTGGGCACAAGACTGCTTAAGCTATTCAAGGTTGAAATCGTGGAAGAAAATTGGAAAAAGGATCTGAAAGAGACAGCAGGTTCGGATCCGGTTCCTGAGGCAAGGGTCCACAGTGCTACGGGTGCAAGGCCGGGTTAGCAAGTTTGTGGTGGAAGACTTTGAGTATGCCCTCTAGGTACTCGAAGCAACACTTCTCCTGGTGATGTTTAGTCTCAAGTGTTGCAGGGGTTTTGCAGCAGGTGGAGCTATGGTATTCACAGGTGATGAGAAGGTCCTGAGGTAGGAGGAAGTGTGGGAATTTTGTCTGGCTCGATGGGTTGTTGCTGGAAATAGGCGCGCTGACGAGTTTCCAAGTTGCAGACAATGAAGAGGAGGAAAACCTGCTGGAGGAGACGAGGATGTGTTGAGATCCTGTCTGAAGCTAAATGGTGATTTTTAGCTTGCAGCAGCTGCACATGCATTGGCAGTGACTGAATCGGAATAGGACCAACGAGGTTGATTCAGAGTGTGCATGCTGGTACGTAAGGCCAATGGACTTTGGTACAATTTGGCCAAGGTGGAGATTGTTGGATAATGGCCAAATTAGTTCCATGTTTTGTGGCTTTTTCAAAGCCATGTTTTGTGGCTTTTTCAAAGCCATGTTTTGTGGTTTTTTCAAAGCCATGTTTTGTGGCTTTTTCAAAGCCATGTTTTGTGGGAGAAGGCTTAGATTAAGAAAAGCATAAAATGGTGAGAGCATTTGGCAAAACAAAGAAACGGATGAAGAGATGTAAAGCATCCAAAAGAGATGGTGTGAGTATTTGGCTCTACCATGGGCATGGGTGAGAGAAATCAAGAGAGCTAGAGTGAAAAGTATTCTAGTGAAAGAACTCTTGGGGTAGAGTGAGGCTCTTGGGAAAATTCTGTGAGTGGGTGTACAAGGGATATGGGATTGGGTTATGTCGATTTAACTCATGTATACTTGTACTGTTATTCTCATAGTGAAGAGCAATATCTCTCCGGGGACGTAGGCAGTTTTTTGCCGAACCTTGTAAATTTCTCTGTGTCTTTATTTCTTGTACTTTATTTTGTTCAACTGTGTGTGATTTTTGGTGAGGTTGTAATCTGAATCTCGGTTCCGCACTAACGAACGGGCCAAGGCACAACATCATTTGCCCTTGCCAATAAAGTATTGATTGTAAGTATATCAAATTTATTTCAATTAAGAAACAAAATTTATAATTAATGTGTAAGAAAGTTGTTCTATCGTCAAGTCGCTTATGAAGAAATCTCAAGCATTGATGGTAAGAGTGGGAAATAAGTCAGTGGACCCGATTTCTTCACGTGCCGACGTGCAACTGACTCTAGCATGTTTCTTCCTTAAGAATGGATTCCTCTATTATTTGTTAGTACTTTGCTTTTTTTAAAAGAAAAGGAAAAAAAAAAACGAAAGAGTGGTTAAAATGTGTTTGTAGGACTATACACACTCAAAGAGCCTTTCAGAGAAAGAAGTGTTGAAGCACACTAGTGGTGACCTTGAAGTAGTCAGCATTGCCTGTGGCCTTGTGGGAGGGGACACACTTCTCACTGCTATGCCTGAGAGCATGGGAGTGCTCATTTCACAAATCACAAAAGATAGTAGGAGATACCAAACCCTGAGATTTTTGGAGGAATTGCTTGGTAAAGTTCCAATTGTGCACATTGAAGATGTTTGTGAGGCACACATATTATGCATGGAGAAGCATTCCATCAATGGCAGATTTCTATGTGCTAGTGCGTATTTGTCTTCAGCAGAAATAGCATCTCACTGGGAAAAAAATTACCCAGGTTTCAGAATAGCTGAAGAGTAAGTTCTAACTTGCAACACAAGCTATTAAGAAAATTTTACAGTATTGTTGTTCTGGCATTCCAAAAAAGTTATCATGCACTCTTCAATTTGCAATTCCTCCTTTATATTTTTGCAAAGGTGGACCACATGATAACGCTTTTAGAGCACTAATAACAACTTCTAAAATCTACAATGGTCCCTAACAATACACATTCAGAACTTTACAAGATTATCCTATCCTTGTTTCAGGTTTGTGGAGGATTCAGGGAGAGACATTGGCTGGGGTTCCACAAAGCTGAAGAAAATTGGATTTGAGTACAAATTTGATGCCAAGGTGATATTAGATGACACTTTAAAGTGGGCCCAAAAGATGGGTGAGTTTGCTTCCAGCCAAAATACTGTTGTACCCAAGTAATTACCTAGGACAATTAAATAACTTGCCTCTGATCAGTGATCAGTCAATTGCAGCAGTTAAGAAGTTCAAATTGTGATAATATTTACGGATTTAGTTACAATACTTAAATGTATTTAATATAATCTTTATCTCGAATGCAATTTTATTTTTTAAAATCAGCACTATTCCTCTTGGACCAAAGAATTTACAAATCAATGAGACTATAAGTGGAAAGAAGAAAAAGAAAGACAAAGCGACACAGAAATGCTACCTCACGCGTTACTTCTACCTAGGCAGAGGAAAGCTCTTTTAACAAACCTCATCTTCTCCTCTGCAATTTTTTTTTGGGGTTTTTATCCTTCTCATGTGGAAAGGGAAAAAGTAAACATTTTAAGCCAAATATTCTGGGGGAAATTCCAAATCATCAATTGAGAAATCAAAATCCCCAATTGGTGAATTGGTAACTGAAGTTGGAGCTGAGATTATCTCAGTGAGACCAGATTCTGAAGTCTGCACGTCATGCGCTAGTCCGAAACTGCTCATATGGCACGGTGACACCGCCAAGTAGTCCGACTCAAACGTTGCTGCTGGAGATCCAAATATTGGAGCATAGCCATCGACCAAATTGTTCTCCATCATCGTTGAGCAGAAAATATGGTCCCCAACCATTTCGGATTCAATCGGAGTGGAAGGGAAGGAGAAGGGTGAAAATATATCATCCTCTCTAGCGTCCAAATTTTCAGTTTTAACTCTAAGCCCTGCTCTTCCAAAACTGAACGACATCTCTGGTGAAAATTGTTTCGCTTTTTTTACTTCTAGGGTTTTATTTTGGTTGCCTTTTAACCCTTGCTTAACCCTAGCCAACTGAGAGGCTTTGTTACAAGTATGGACTCCCCTGTAGGTTAGCACGAAGGTTGTTGGATCTGCATCTGATTTCTGAACTTGCTTGGTAGCTACGCAACCCTGTGTTCCACGATGTGTGCATCTGTAGTAGCCTCTGCAAGGCAAGAAAACAAAAACCCTCTTTATAAATTAATTTATTCTCTCAGTAAATGTTACATGTACTGTAGATTTTCATTGAAAGTGATATATTAGATGGTATTTTCTTGATTAAATATCAAGAATCCAAATTTGGGCCAGAGTACAAACGGCTGTTTTGTGGTCCATACATGATTTTGGTAATATATACGTCGTTGCAGGTAAATTTTAGGCCGTCCATAGATCGGGTTTTGGACTTGGATCAGTGACCAGGCCAAGACACATTTAAGCTAAAAGGAGCTGTACTGCTAGACGCTTTAGAATTTTCAAACTTATAGGCAAAAAACAGAACCAGTACTTGTATACAGACCAACTTGCAAAAAAATTTGAAGGACGCTTTTAGCAGCCACATGTATTCACAGTTGGATAAGTTCTAACTTCAAAGTACTTTTACTTCCTTTATATATGCAATTGTAGAAATAAAAATGCCAAAAGAAAAAAAAAATTATCATCTTCTATAATTAGCGGTTATAATTCTTAAGCAAAAAAGAAGAAAAAGAAAAAGGTGTTTGATGTCAAGGAATTTTCACGTCCTGCATATGTTTCAGGACACACATGAGCAGCCTGACGATTGACTGATGACATAAAGCAAAAGGTATATCCCTCTATGAGCAAATAGATACTTGACTGATGGAAATCCAGCCACATCATGCTTTTGGTTTTTTTATATTCTTGTTATCTTGTTCAATTTAGAACATCGCTCAAATAAAGAATTAGTAATTCACACTTCAAAAAGTAAAAGTTCTCACCTTGGATGATTAGCTCCGAGGATATTCTTTTGGCCATATTTTCTCCAACTATAGCCATCATCAAGGCTCCCATCTAACCCTGTTCCAGAGGAAACCTTCACTTCCTCAGTCCAGCTGGGCATTGTTTTCCTGCAGCACAAAAAAATCGCAACAATTTGATCAATATCCAATTTCAACAATCGAATTGAACTGATAAAAAAACTACCCCTTCAACGAAATTAAACCAGATAAAAAATTTACGTCTTCTTGAAGACATTTTTGTGCTTGCAATCCTGGTCAGAGATCTCACTCAGTGGGCTACTATTGCCAAATGAAGTTGGTGATTCCAACATAGTTTCACGAGCTGTGATGTGTTTGGATTCTCCAACAGATCCATCCCCAGTACCTGTGAGCAGTGAGAGTGCCTTCTCATATGAAAACAGTATCTTTGAAATCAGAGAATCTCTTGTTTCTTCTGAGGAGGAATGGTGGAGGTGGCTCATGAGCTGCTCAGCCAGCTCCTTCCCTTGCGTTAGCTCACTGGTTAGACTCTCCTGCTCCCGCTCCATGCTCTTTCTCTTCTCCATTTGCAAAAATGTGAACCCAAAAAAACAAAAGTAATAATGCTTGAAGCACTAGAAACACCAAAGCTACCAAATGAGAATGATGGGTAGTTTGCTTAAGTAGCTAGAGAGAGAGAGAGGGGGAGAGAGGGAGAGAGGAAGAGAGAGAGCTGTGATGTGATATTATGGAGAGAAGGGAAATGTTGTGTGTGAATTTCTTAATGAAAGTGTGAGGAAGAAGGGGTGGATATAAGGGGATGGAAAAGAGAAGGAAAAGAGACAGATTTGACTGAAGAAAACCAAATTAATTTGATTCTCTTTTGCCTTAAGCAAATAAGACTAGTTTTCTGGTTATGATCAATTTGTTGGGGTAGTGATGGCGAAATAGTAATTTTGAAAAGAAATGTGTATGAAAAGTCTTCCTGACCAATTCAACCCCAACGAAATTCCATTAGACTCACATACTCTCTCTCTCTCTCTCTCTCTCTCTCTCAAAACTATAGTCGTAACCAGTGAGAAGCAACGCGGAAGAAGGTTTGAAGATTCTTGGTCCTATCCTCTAGGGTTTAATTCAACACGCCCCTTTTGCACCTAACGTGGGCAATTTTCAATGGGTGATATTAGAGCGTTTTAGCAAAAATCCAACAAAGTATTGCTCCAAGAGACTCCATAAATGGCTCTTTAAACTAACTTTGTGAATAATCGCTCTTTAAACTTATAGAGAAGAAGATAGATTTTCACATTTGCAAACTATTCAATTATTTCTCTCCTCTTAAAACTCTCTTAAAGAACTAATAAAATATTAAAGATTTATTAAAATACAGAATGTTGTTGGAGATGTTAATTTAAAGGAGTCTTTTGATATGGATCCAAAGTAATTAAAAATTAGACCTATTTCAAAAGTTGGCCTATAAAATTAGACCTATTTCAAATTTTCTCTAATTTTTAAAAATTAACTAGCTAAAATAGATTTTTGACCATGTTCACTAGCTAATTTAGAGAAACGTGGAGATGCTAAGGGGTCATATGGATAGGCTGTTTATGTTAGAATGTGAGCATTTAAGTCAAGACTAATTGTCACTATAAGTAGAAATGTCCGTTGTCTTTCAAGAAATTACGGTTCAACTTTTTGAATATTGTTATTGACGTTCCAAAACATCCTACATTGCTTTATTATAAAGCACAAACAAGCAAATTCACTCAAAGAATGCATAACAACTTTTTGAGAGTGCTAATAACAACTAATGTGATTGGAAACCCCTTTGGATAGAAACATATATTCCACTTTGGTTCTTCGTTTTTTTATTTTATAAAAGGCTCCAATTATAATGCCTTGGTTTTTGTTGATTGATTGGCATAATTACTTATGGCGTTTTCATCAAATATATGTATACATATTTTCGAAATGGTGTACTAAGATGCTAATAAGCTAGTGTGACATCCCACATCACCCAGGAGAGTGATCCTTATATGTATAATCTCATCCCTACTTAGCACGAGGCTTTTTGGGAGCTCACTGGCTTCGGGTTCCGTAGGAACTCCGAAGTTAATCGAGAAGGGGGCTATAGCAATTCCATGATGGGTGACCCACTGGGAAGTTGCTCGTGAGTTCCCAAAAACATAACCGTGAGGGAATGGTAAGTCCAAAGCGGACAATATCGTGCTACGGTGGTGGAGCGGGCCCGGGAAATGATCCGTCCCGGGCTAGAATGTGACAATTTGGTATCAGAGCCTAACCCTGGCCGTGGTGTGTGGACGAGGACGTCGGGCCCCTGAGGGGGTGGATTGTGACATCCCACATCACCCAGGGGAGTGATACTTATATGTATAATCCCATCCCTACCTAGTACGAGGCCTTTTGGAAGCTCACTAGCTTCGGGTTTCATGGAAACTCCGAAGTTAAGCGAGTAGAGCACAAGAGCACTCCCAGGATGGGTGACCCATCGGGAAGTTCTCGTGTGAGTTCCCAAAAACAAAACCGTGAGGGTGTGCTTGGAGCCCAAAACGGACAATATCGTGCTACGGTGGTGGAGCGAGCCCGGGAAGTGGTCCTTTGGCCCAGGATGTGACAGCTAGCTTAGTCAGATGAATTTTATTTGCGCTTAAACAACTTTTGTCATTCAATGCTCTCAACATATATATTTTTTATTTGGAGTTACGCACTCAACATAGTTAATACTTGAATTGCCAATAATTTTCATTCATTTTAGGGGAAAGAAAAAAAAAACTAAAAATGACGTATAGTAGTACGTAGTGTGAAAAGCTTTTGCTTACGTTGATGTGTTGATAAATATAAAACCCATGTGTGCTTGAAGCTTTATTTTTCTAATACTCCTGCATATTAATTGAATATTACACATATAATATCTTATCATCTTCAACCCTTCAACTGGCTAGTTCCAAAATGCATATTGTAATATATATTATAAATATCATATTATCATCCATCAGTTCTTGTTTTTAGAGTTATCTATCTGTTTTCACACCTAATTACTGGTGTTCTTTTTCTAATGATGATGTGAAATTCTTGTCTACAACCATATTTTCAAACATTAATTTTATTATGACCTAGCACACAGGGACGTGCATATATTACATGTACAGAGCCTTTGTTTAAAAGGGATCTCCATTTTTTGGGTAAACTGGGGACTAGGTGTGAATATGTGATGCCAATTATATGTCGTACTTCAACGATCCAAACCGTTTTTTTTGTAAATCTTCATTTATAAATTATACTTGCAAAAAATCAATTCAAGCCAAAGTTGTGTACTCGTTTGGCTGTCATGATAAAATTTCAATGTTTCTTACAACATAGCATTCGTTAATTTCTTTGAACTCAATTACATGTCTTAAACATTTTTTATTTGAAAATATTTTGCAATGATGATTTCTGAAGCCCAACTTGAAAAATAGACAATTTGAATCTTTGAAGTTCTTCGAGAAGTAGGCCCCACAACTAGTCTTTATTTTTACAAAAAAGTTTCTTTTAATTCGACCCTTTCATCTAGAAGATTAAATGCACATCACAATCGTAGCTTATCTATTCTATTAAGAAAACCCTCTTTGTCAACTTTTTTTCTTCCTATTTTGCCCTTACTTATGATACATATTATTGACAAAATGACAATCATATCCCTATTTTTCCTATTTTACCCTTTTTTTTATTTAGAAAATGACAATCATATACTTATTTTTTCAATTTTACCCTCACTTTTGATACACGATATTTATATAAGAAGGACAAAACAATAATTATGTAATATTAAGAAAACAATATGTCCTTATTAAGATATTTCATCATCATTGTCTCATATTCTTTTTAAAAATTTTAAAAACTAATCACACTTCTTAATCAAAAACAAAAATGAAAATGAAATTGTTCACACACAAAGTATGTGCTCATCTTCTAGTATTATATAAGGCAAAGATTCATCAAAAAAAAATTGATTAACTAAAGTGAATCGGCAACATATACCATATTTTTTTATGGATCAAATCGTCAAGTTCAAGAATGTCATTTTGTAACCCAAAATATAAACTTCTGGATATTATGAGCTTCGATTTTTTTAACTATTTTCTCTCTGATACCGTGCGACGTACCATTCTTTCTTTAAATCATTACATGCTAGAACCTCTTAATCTTATATCAAGGGATAAAATGTTCTTAGCTTTGCCCCCTACTTTCGTAACATTGCTAACAATAGATATGCCCTTTTGTTTAACAGAAGGGTGTGTGAAACTTATCTCTTACGCCACATTTTATCTCACACACTATAAAATAAAAAATAAAATAAAAAAACTATTAAACAACTGAAAATATTTGAGAGACCAAATTGAGTGTGAAAATCACAACCTTTCACTCAATTTAGATTTGAATGATAGTTGGTTTTCTTGAAGTTTTGTACTTTTGTTTGAGAGTGTAACATGCACACTCCCTTTTTATAAAAGTATCAGTTAAGAACATATTGACATGTTTAATCATCATATTTTGAACCATTTACCCTTTTTATAATGATTTTTTTTTTTTTTAATTCTAAGAATATAATTTGCCTTGCTAGTTGTCAGAGTGATTTGTCCTTTTGCTGATTTTTCTTTGTGTTCTTTTGTTCTTTTCCACGTACTTGCAAAAACGAAGAAAGTCAAATGTTTTTAAGTTTAAGATAAAGCTGCAGGATTTAAATTTAAACTCAAGACATAAGATAATTAGTGGATACGATGTTATATTTTTAAGTTTAGTTTTCACCCATCAGTTTCGAATTAAAACTTTCCTTTCCCCTTTATAATAAATTAGAAGAAAAAATTTACATGACATATCCAGTTAAGTCGTCAATTCATTAAAGAAATAATATAGATAGTTAAAGAGTAATGTTAGATAAAGTTTTAAAAATTAAAGGACATAAAAGTTGATCATTCGTTTATTACTTAAACATTGATAAACGTGTTTATTCTTATTGGTGACATATTATTTAATTTGTAAATTTAATCTCCTTAGTATTACCCATAATAAAACAAGAAAGAATATATATAGGTTTTTTGGGGAAAATTTTTTAAACTAATATGTGGGTGGAAGAGCATTTGTCCGAAGCTAAAATTTTCTTTTATTCTTTTGATGAAAAGCATGTGCTGATTGCTTCTATTAATTGTTCATTTAGCTTGCAATTTGCGAATCGCAAAGCTTAAGATACTAACATTAATGCAACAGTTTTTATTCTTTAACACCTGTAGTTGCAATAGTTCAATGCAGTATTCCTGTCGGTAACTTCTCGTTGCTCGCAACCTTCTTTACTAAACAAAATTAGGAAAGGGTTCAAATGAATACATGATATCGGCGTGTGAATAAATGTTTTTAATTACGTGAGTTACACGTTTTTGATGTGGTTTATTCCATCAAAATATATATGAACATCACAACTCTAGTATAATTATCATGACGAAGTCTTAAGAACTTTATTAAGATTGTGAGAATCTTTGAATCTACTGTCAAAAAACATGTTAGAACAAACACTGGCTACCAAACCAAAACGAACTCATTTCAATTTACATTTGCTTTCTCGGTATTTAATTGATCACATGCATACAAATTTAAGCATCCTTTTTCTTAGCTTTCCGTCCCTGTCAGTATTAAAGAGACCACAAAACTTATAAATTTCCAAGAACCTGCCGAGTCTTTGTGCAGAAACGGAAGAATAGTGAAATAAAACATGAATTTATTGGGTCCCTTCTAATGTTCTATTTTTCTTGTTCCGAAGTGGTCCCAGTTCTTTTCGCGTTGGTTGTTTCATTGTGAGCTCAAGTTTTTTTTATTTTTTTTTTCCGTTTTTTTAAAGAAATCAATAGACATGATGG